CTAAGGCTACTTATATTTTCGAAAAATAATTAGGTTTCCGCGTAACAAAATTAAAACCCTAAATTACACGCGGGCAAAGTCGCGGGGAACAGCTAGTTTGACATAAAATATGATAGAGCCACGCTGCTACTGCATCATGGCTACAGAAAGAAAAGCTCGGCTAGTTTCGGTTTTTCCCCGATCTAGCCGATATTTGACATAATTACGCCGATATTTCACGCTGGCTATCACGGATAACCAGCGTAAAATATCGGCGTAAATAGATGTTTCGTAAAGTAAGTGACGTAAACCATTTTACTGCTAAAGTAGAATCCCATCTTAGTTCTCATTGGCTCATTTACATTTTGATTATTAATATAAGATAGAAATAGGTGTATATAAGGTACATCATAACCTGGACCGCAAGCTCGTTTTTAACCTTTATTTCTATTTATAAACATATAAAATACTAGCTGACCAGGCAGACGTTGTTCTGCCTTTTCCGACGACCATGTGTCCTAAAAAAATCATTAAATTCACAATAAAAAAAATTTATTGTTACTTATCGGGATAAAAACTATCCTATCTCTCAAGTTGAACCAAACTGCACACATTGTGAAACATTTCATTGAAATCAGCTCAGTAGTTTAGGAGTTCATCGCGGACAAACAATGTTACACGTAATTTTTATATATAAAGAGTACCCTTTACCTTAAGGTGTTACATTTAAGTTTTTAAATAAAATAAACAAATAAATTATTTACATTGAGTCAAATCAAAACAATAACGTTAGGCATTAATAATATCGGCCGTTTGACACTATCTAATTTACGGTTACTTCTGAAAACAGGAAAAACGAATGCATTCGAAAATAAACACCACTAAAACCGTCACTCACTTAATTATAGCCGTAACTCAACGTTATTAGTGACTTCAATATTTTTCCGGGTCACAAATAAAATAATATCTGACGTATTATTGTTTAAATACTTTCCATTTAATGTGTTTAGTTTCATCGATGCTAACAAAAACTATCGATAGCTTTTTGGGCATCACTAAAAAGCAATTTTTATAGCGACCCTCGGAGGGGACTTGATAAATATTTATGAAGTAGCTAGCTACATTACTTTTCATGCCTAATGATTTCTAATTCAATCACATTTCGGCTCGGTCTGCGTGTAAAGATTATTTAAACCTCTCGATTGTGTTTGTATTTTGTTCCATCACATGATTGTAATATATTTGCTGTGTGGTGACTTTAGGAAACGCCAAAAAGATATCATGACGGTATAAATGGCGGTAATAACTAAATCGTGTATACCAAAAATATGAAATAACCAGACTGGGGAATCGTCGCCTAAACGTCCTACAAAACGTGGTAATTACTCGTATGACACATCCTCCCTACAACTGGAGAGGCCTGTGTTCAGCAATGGTCTTTTACGGGCTGATGTTGAAGAAGAATTATTTATAGATATTGATTAAATTGCACTAGCGACACCATCTTTTCTTTTTTCTTATTCTACGATTTGTCACATATTATACTAAGAAACAGTTTAAATAATGATAAAAAACGATACAGAGATTTCAAAAAACAATAAACTAACATGTATGCAGTTTACACGCGATAGAAGTGAATGGATTGGGTATATCAAGATAATTTTATTCGATGTGGTTTATTGAATTTGTTCATTTTTTAAATAAAGTAAAATATTTTATATGTTTTTAAAGGACAAAAAAGACGGTAGTCGAATGGCGGATTCAATCACACAACCTTTTGAGTCCGCGTCTACAGTATAATCTATCTCATTCTCTCGCAATTTGGTCTTATTGTAGTGTCGCTTTTTCATTTCATCGAGTTTCAAATAACAACGATTCTAAAGAAGTTTTCACTTCTAAACTATTATTTATTTGAAGAACAAAATAATGAAAGAAAATCCTCGGATAGATATCCCCCATTACAAAGCCCTTTCGGTTATTAAATAACTCAAGGGTCACGCCTCTCTTATCTGCCGGGACACCCCCTCAGGAGCAGTTGTCAAATTATTTGCCCTTTTCACTTCATTATACGCCTCTACTTCTTATGGGGCCGCTAAGTGATACTTTCAATCTGTTTTATGATTTATATCCGGGCACTAAAGTCTTTTAGCATTTTGTTATATAATTTTCTCCATAACAAGTTATCTATTAAAGGTTTTTTTTTAATTATAACTTTAATTTTGCTTACATTCTGCTTTCAACTATTTTTTTTTTACTTATTATAAGCCAGTGCTTGACCATTATTTAAATGATTTTTATGTACTCATACTTTTTTTTTAATATTATACCAGTATTTGACTACTACCCCAACTGATGGTAAGTGGTGAAGTAGCCGGAGATGGTACAACGCACTGAATTAGCCTAACAAAAGCCTATTCGCTCTTGCTTTGAATACGCGCACATTATAATGCATCGGCAGATGCTGGCAAATTATTCCATTCCTTTGCTGTACGTATGAACGATGAAGCAAGCCGTTTGCTTCAAATGCGTGCTACGTTGACAACAAACAAGCCGCTTAGGAGGAGTATAGTGACAAACACACGTACAAAAAATTATGTGTATGAAGTTAGATTACAAGATTTTCTTTTCCAAGTCATTAAAACTTTTACCAGTAGTTTGGAAGGACCAGCGAAAAACCTAGCAGGTCTCTTTCATTCATTTTCTACCGACTTCGAAAAGGAGACGGTAGTCAATTCGACTGTATGTATTTTTATGTGTATAAAAATAAATATAACTTTCTTCTCGGTGAACCGATTTCGATGATTCTTTCTTTATTTGAAAGCTGGTGCTTCTCATGTACATCCCGTATAAATTTTATCAAGATCTGACCAATAGTTTTTGAGTTATTCTTAATAATTTAAATTGAAGTCGGTTGTACAATATTTTAAATTTTAAATTATTATTCATTTTCTTTAGTATTAAAACGTCCAAAAGTATGTGAAAACTCAATTATATAACTTCCATAACATTAATATTCTTCCCGCACCTACATCCATATATACAGGTCAAGCTAATAAAAACGTGTTAAAAACAACGTAGAATTTACTCATGTGGAATAACCTTTCTTGAAAAAAAAAAACAGAGATAAATTGATAATGCCAACATGAAAAGGGTGACAACAACTCTACTGTGTGACAGCGTTGCATTCTGCGGTTTCCATTACTTTATTAGTTTGATGAAAGCTTGTTAACACGCACGACATGATGCGTGCTTGTGTTGGTATTTAATAATATATGTAATGTGATAGCGGCAAGTGATACAGTAAAGGGTAAATAAAAAAAAAAACAGCGACCAAAGAAAGAACTCCTTGATTGAAAGAAAGAAAGAAACAGATTTTATTTGGCACATGCAGCACACTTAAGCGGATTACATAAAACACATAACATTTAAGTAGTCACACAAACAAACAATAAAAAACAAAAAAAAATATACATAGAAATCACGAAACAGGGCATTAACTCCTTGTTTATAGATATGGTAAAATTAAACAAAAAAAAAACAAAAAAAACAAACAATAATATAAAAAATAATAATAATAATAAAGAACTAGAGAATAAGGAGTAATGCATAAGGTGTATCACAAAGATAATCCACCCGTTAATGCTGCTCTGCTCCAAAAATGAAAGCCACTCAGGATATGTTGGAATGTATCAGAAGTACAGCACCCCAACCCTGATTTTCAGTGGCACCCTTATGATATATATATATGTGATATATGATTGGACGTGCTTGCTAATAAGCACTAGAAGGTGAGAATACTTTTCTACATCGGAGATCGTCAGAGTAGGTACCGTACTTTCTATTTGTACCGTGCTTGCACTGGTGAAGGGTAGTCTCACGGCTATAGAGAGGCAATATATTTACAGGCGGTGAGGCATTCCATCTTAGTCCTCAGATGTGACACTGCACCTGTAGCCTTCCCTGTTTGTGCGAGTAGGTGACTGCAGATGTCCATGAAATGCAGTAGCCACTTACCATCAGGTAGACGTAAGCTTGTTTGGCACATCTGTTTTATAAAACAACTGGCGACCCTGCCCCTCTTCACTTGGATAGAATGTAATAATATTGCGACAATTTTTTTATAGGATATGGTAACAAACGAGCACACAGTAAACCTGATGTTAAGTGGTTGCTGTGGCACATAGACATCTAAATCTATCCTCATTTGCGAATCAAAATGCAGATGCATTGTCTCCCTTGAAGACAAAGATGGAATGCCTCTTTTGCAGTAAAAAGGGTCTCCGGTTCTCTACACTCGTCATACGAAACACAGCAGCATTAAGCTGCTATTTTACTCTGGTATTCTGTGAGAGCGTAGTCATGCCCCGGTTGAACCGACCCATTAGTGCTACAACTATATTACTAATATAGCTGCAGCATGGCTCTACCACGTACAAAACTGCCTATTACTACGCGGTACTCAAACCACAGAGTAAAGGGTCGGTTTCTTTACACATGTGCTTTAATATACTTTTAGCAGTTGACAATGTCCAACTGTGTAGTGGCAGTGTAAAAATAACTTTACCGCACATCATCACGTGTCGTTAGAGGCGACAGAGGAAAACTATGAGATAGGCAACAGCTTCCCCCTAATAACAACTAACATGGCTCTATCACGTATAAAATTTAAAATAAATGTGTGATAAAAAAAACTTCAAGCTTATCGGATAAAATATAGTCTAGATCCCTGCTGGTATTACTCTCTATCAGTTTGTAAAGTTTCATCACAATCCATTCAGCCAATCTGAAGATTGGCCCGGACAGACTGACCAACATTTTTTTTTAATTATTATATATGCCTTATTAGGATGCAAATTAATTCCTGAGCTTAATAGCCAGTTACGTCAATATAACAAACAGATACTTCAATTTTATTTTTATGTGTATAGATTATACCACAGATGAAAAGATTAGCTTGCCAGCCAACCACACCTGTACTTTAAATTTGATCGAATATGAAATAATAGATTAGTTGAACTTACCCGAACTCGGTCGATCACTGTACCGCGTACAATACACCCACGCCGGCCACACCATCGGTCCGTTCTCACCAACTGTTGTACCTTAAAGTCAAACATCATCACTTAGCGGTCAGCCATCGCAGTGTCCGTTTCACCTGATAACGAGGCATTATAGAGGTGATATAAAGGCGAAACACTTCTCGTATTATCGACGGTGGTGTGTTCCCTTTCTTTCCCATTGGTTGTCGGTTCTACGAGTTATTATTTATTTATTGTACTTCTTCCACTAAAATACACAAACGCGGGCTCAATGCCTTAAGGCGTTCTTAAGCTCTGCGACCGACCCATTGCCAAGACACAAAGTAACGTAAATAAAAAATTAAAAGTCAAATAAGAAAGATATTGTACACACACACACACACACACACACACACACACACACACACACACACACACGCAGTCTTATTATTGTTATAAGAATGTCATAATGCTTCGCTTTGGTGACGTGAGGAAATTCATCACAGAAAGATCTTAGCTTTTTGTCTTTCTCGCACAGCATGCTTATAGAATTCACTACTATAAAATGCGGGCAACACACCTGCAATACCCCTCGTGATGCTGTTGTTCATGGGTAGCGATAGCCACTTACAATCAGGTGAGCCGCATGCTCGTTTTCCGTTTCTTATATAAAAATGATAGCTTATATAACCATCTAGCATACCAGATGTAAAATAATCGGATAGGCGACGTGGAACAGCGTGAATTGTGCGCAATATCTGATACCGCGATTGCTAATTCACTTGCCACGCGTGGCAATTATAGCATAATATATTTTCTCTAATAGAGTACACCACTTACCACCAGGTGGAATTATAAACAAGCACTGGCTTGTCATAAGTTAAAAAAAAAGCACTAGTCTGACAGATAGATAACGAAAAATGTCATTACTATAAGAAATTACTAGCTATGAAGGCATAAAATAATTGTATAATCAAAATTTGTATATTTATTTAATAGCTTCCAAAATCAAAAACATCGCCCCGTACCCGGTTCAATACACGTGATACGGTGCGTTTTTAGTTTTCCGACCAGTGTCCCACATTGCGATAGTGGTTCAAGCCGAGGTTCGTACCTCCTTCTGGGGGCCCTTGAATCATATGAGGCTAGCTTGAGGAACCTTACTCCAAAAGCAGGGGTCGGGGTGCCTCGGTACTGCAGTCAGCAACCGGCCGGCAGAATCGTTGTACTCGATAGCTCGTAAGTCTACGCTTAAGAGTCTAATCCGATGAAGCTGTAAAGGCTGCAAGACCAACAGCATATACTCCCCGCCAAAAAAATTTAAAATTTTGATTTTGGAAGCTATAATATAAACATGTGACTACATTTTATTTTTCTATTAAAATTATATTCTCTATTATAGAAAAATTAAAAAAAAAACTTACTTGTAGTACTACTTTGGTTACTCGAACCGTCGTCGCTTTTAGAAAGATCAATAGCACTTTTATCACCAGACTTGACTTCCGGCACTCTAGCCTCAAGCACATCTGGCTTAGACGGCAATGGGACCTCTTTCACTGGAGCTTTAGCCTCAAATGATTTCGTCCTTAAATTCTTTCTCTTAGTGAGCGGATCTGTAATTCGCCTCCCAAAATCTGCTTTCAAAATGTTATCTATACTAAATTTTAAGCAATTTTGATTTATGAAATCCCTTTCCGACTCGTTGTCAGGAGATTTTGGTGTAAGGTAATTAACTCGTCTGTTTTCGTCGCTTCTACTGTGTCGCTGCTCCTGTGGCTGGTTTTTCATTCTCATGCCGAAATTTAATCCAAAATGCTGTGGGTTAAGATTTAAATTATTTTGCGGAATTGGCAACCGACTCGGCATAACTCCAGATTTCAGCTCCACTTGATTTAGCGGGTTTTGGAACAACAACGGTTGATTTAGGAACATTAAAGGATTTGGTGTGATCGGACTGGGCCGTAGGAGTAAGGGTTGATTCACATTAAGATTCTGACTTAGTTGCGAGATCGCATTCAAATGCGTCTGAATATGCTTAAAGGAGGATAGAGCTGGTGCGGCTTCTGAACCATTCTTTTCGCTATCCTGAAAATTAGATACAGGAGCCTCATTTCCAACTGATAGAACAGTATCATCACTACAACAGGAGTTTTCATCATCTACACTTATTTCTGCCCTATAATCATTGGCTTGATTATCTTCATCGTCAAGCCTCGGGCTGACGCTCTCTGACGTTCTTGAATTTTGACTATCATCGAAATTTGGGGTATTTTGCAATAACTTATCGGTTGAGAATACGTTTTCGGGACTACTTGCATCTCGTTCTTTCTTCAAAACGTTATGTATAGAAAAAGATGACGTGTGTAGAGATCTCTCTTCAGGCTTGTCTTCTTCTTGATATTCAGGGCTGATAGTGTCCCTGGTGTTTGGAGAATAGGGCTCATGTTCCTCATCGCTGTGATCCTGAATCTTTATTCTTGTGTCCTGTATGTGCACGGTAGTTGACACCGCTGCCATTTTGCTTCGAAAGTTTTACGCCATCTGATAAACAATGAAAAAAAATATTACATTAAACTTTAAAATATATACCTATATTAAATTCAAAATCTATTTTACTGGAGAGTTGTTTTTCATTCTATATTATGTATCTATTAAACAAAGATTAAAAAAATTGTGCGTATAATTATTGTGTACACGTACGAAGTGAAACTTCTTTACGACATATTCTTTTATTTTATATTTTACATAAGTAGGTTAACCTTTCAGATCCCGTCATTGCATCGGACCAACTCCGTCAGACATGCGGTCAGGCCAAAGTCAAAGATATTTTTTTTGATTCTCAAAACGAGGCCCTGTCAACTAATGTATGGAACCAACGCGGCATTAATAACAGCGCCATTGAATAAACTACGTCGGTTTCGCAGATCGATGTGTTACTTGATAGACCGTGTAGATGGCGCTACTACCGAATTATTTCATTAGTAAACAAAAATAACATAGTATTTTAAAATCGATAGATACAAAATCAATTCACCTATTGTATATATCGTCTAATTTTGGAGGAAATTAAACAAAGATTGTATAAAAAGGGTTATTACAATATTAAGGAATTTATGGATGATAATAACCCCTTTGAATGAGGTGATCGCTACCATGCTATTTCTGATTTGTTTTGTGTTGTTAATTAGTGTGTAACTTCAATGATTGAAAAGCTCTATTTTTTTTCAAATTTTTTTTGAAAAATAGAACAGAAAAGGAAGTCCTGCTTGGTTTCTTGCTGGTTCTACCCAGATCAGAGGTATTTTCCGAACCAGTGGTAAATTAAGCATAAGAATGACTTTCAATATGTATTACATAATATAATCATTTCTATAAAATTTATTGAAAATGACGCGATGAATTTTATAAAAATCGATGTACTCCTACGTACTTACGTAATGGATTAGTAAGACAAAAATTTAGTTTAAATGGATAAATAATGTTTAACCATCTCATCATCATCATCATCATTACAGCCCTTCACAAGTCCACTGCTGAACATAGGCCTCCCCCAAAGAATGCCACAAAGCACGGTCCTGAGCCACCTGCATCCATCGACTTCCTGCATATCTTACCAGGTCGTCACTCCATCTAGTGGGGGGACGCCCTACACTTCGCCTGCCGGTACGAGGCTGCCACTCGAGAACCTTTCTTCCCCATCGGTTGTCGGTTCTTCGAGCTATATGGCCGGCCCATTGCCACTTCAGCTTACTAATCCGTTGGGCTATGTCGGTCACTCTGTTTCTACTGCGGATATCCTCATTTCTGAGTTTATCACGCAGAGAAACTCCGAGCATAGCCCTCTCCATAGCTCGCTGAGCGACCTTGAGCTTCCTCATTCGGCCAGCAGTGAAGGACCACGTCTTTAACCATCTAATATATAAAAATTAATATATCTTTGTTCATATTTTATGCGCTATCATACCGTTCATCAGATTGGGGTAAAACTTTGTCAATTTATTGCTTGCACTTCCGCGAAGGTTAGCATAGTACAATTAACTTACGCGCGTATCGTACCGACAAATTTATTCGTTAGTTATATATATCACTCAACATCAATAAATGTATTGTCATTCATAATTAAACAATATAAGTCTTCAAAATTTGAAACGATATTTACACAATTATTTTTTCTGCGGCAGAAACGCCCACGGTGCCGTGCAGCTAGTATGAAATAAAAATTAAATAATTAATTCTTGTAGTGGCGATGTTCATCACGCCATTTTATCCCGCATGTGTTGTAAGAGTGGGAGATGCCAGAAAGATCTTATGGGTTCTGATGGCGGTATAACCACCTCTGTATGCCAGACGTAAATACCCTAGACTAGCGATAAAGAACAACGTTAAAGGTGCAAGACTTCTGGTACAATTATCGTCAGTTTGCTGGCCAAGCGAATTAAGGCAAATACGTTTCACAAATGATGAGGTCCATGTCCAGCAATGGACTTTTACGGGGTAATAAGGAAAGAGCATAGGAGCATAGGACGTATTTAAAAAAAAATCATTTTTATATGATTTGAAGACATTGTATATCTTTATTTTCACGAAGAGGCATCCAACTCAGCATTATACTGCAATGGAATATATAAGAAATATAAAAATTCACGCTTGTCGCTAAATTTAAGTCTAATCTCTGAGATACATATATATATAAGTAATAAAGACTGATCCAAACGGAACAATTATAATCCTTTGACGTGATTTTTTTATAGGATAGGGTGACAAGCGAGCACACAGTCCACCTGATGGTAAATGGTTGCTGTGGCTCATAGACATCTACATCTATCCTCGTTTGTGAATCAAAATGCAGATGCGTTGTCAGCCGTGAGGACTAAGTTGGAATGCCTCTTTTCCAGTAAAAATGGTCTCCGGTTCTCTACACTCACAATACAAAACACTAGCATTAATCTGCTATTTTACGCTTGTATTCTGTGGGAACGTGGTCCTTCCTCGGTTGAGCCAACCCATTCGTACTACAATTATACATTGAATATAGCTGCAGCATGGCTACCACATACAAAATAAACAATATAAAGCCCAAAGCACAAAAAGTGTTAAAAATTAAAAAATAAAGAATAAAGCTGTGGGATACTTAAGGGCATGTCATTGCAGACCGCAGAAACCTGCACAAGAACAAGAACAAGTATATGTATGGTCTATAAATATATTTTTTCCCAGGACGAGTTGTTCGACTAGGTAAATCCAACATCAACCGAGTGTCAATCGACCGATCCAACTCGACTGGGCACAGCTCGCAAGATAATGATACAACGGGTAAATAAATTTATTTTCTTTCTTTCTTTCTATCAATATAGAAGAAAGAAATCTTGTACCTTCTTTCACATATACCTCAAAACTTAAAAACAAGAGCGTAGAACCAAAGCATATTGTCAGTGATGATATATGTATTTAAGACTTAGTCCTTCGCTGCTGGCTGTATGAAGAAAATTAAGGTCTCTGTGTGAGCTTGGAAGAGACCACACTCGGCGTAACCGACATAGCTCAGTGGATTAGTAAGCTGAAGTGGCAACGAGCCTGCCATATAGCTCGAGGAACTGACAACCGACGAAAAATAAAGTTTCAACAAGTTTCTCAAGTGACAACAGCTTCTACCATTAAGCGAAGTGTAGGACGGCCTCCACTAGATGAAGTGACGACGACGAGATGTCGATAAATCACAACGAGATGTCGACAAATCACGTTCCGGAGCCACCTGCTTCATTCGACCAGGAATTCGAATGAAGCAGGTGGCTCCGGAACGTGATTTGTAGCATTTCTTGGGGAAGGCCTATATTCAGCGGTGCACTTGTGATGGGCAGTGATAACTAATCATCGTTCCTAAGGATGGATGTCTGGATGTTCGTCCATGTACAATTTATTTATGTGAAACGCACAATACAAGAGAAATTACTAAGTTAAGTAAAATGTATAGATACTATTTTAAAGACATTATAAGTGATGTTTTTAACAATTCTTAGATGGAACGTGGATTCGAATCTACATCATACTCGTCCGTTATGAATTTTGTTATTATTTAAATCACCTCGTTAAATTCTAATAAAGTTATAGAATTTAAAGACAAGCCTGTCTCATTACTGTAACCTAAATCATCATCATCACAACCTATCAAAAGAGTAGGTACTGAACATTGCCTCCTCTCATCGTAGGAGGGACATTTTTCACAGTAGCCACGCTTGACGGGCGGGTCGGTAACCGCAGTTTATTTTGATTTTTTTTCATTTGTTTAGAGGTGTCTTAAAAGGCAACAGAGGTTAATGAAACAGGAGGTGGGCAGCATCGTCTACCTGATTAGGGGTAGTAGATATTCTTACAGCGCCACTACAAGATGTAACGCCACGCCACGATGTAACGTGTACGATGCACGGTGCATAATGTTCGACCTAAAAATAGACATCGTTCCATTTCAACTGTGACGGCGCTGTAGTCGCACCATAAGCGAAACGCACTGAAGCTTAAATCACGCTATCAAAGTTGTATTATACACTTCGTCACATTTAAATGATTGATGTTTAAGTTAAAAATTAAGGAATTGTCGTCAGTAAATAATACTATATCATTATTAGCCCCTACAAAGGAAGGTAAGTCATTAATATACACTAAAAATAGGAATGGGCCGAGAATTGAGCCCTGAGGGACCCGGAAGTACTTTTACTATTGATAACAACTTTCTGCGTTCTTAAATATTAAATAATAAGTTCAAGCTTTGCGTTGTTGACAACATAGTATTGTAGCTTGCTGATTAATGTCTCATGGTGAACACAGTCGAAGGCCTTGGGAAAGTCACAAAATATACCCAAAGCATCCTCTGAATTCCCCCATGCACAAAAAGTATGTTTAATAAGCTCAACTCCAGCGTCAGTTGTAGAGCGACCTCTTGTACAACCGAATTGATTTTTATGAAGCAATTTATTAATATATTATTTTAAATTTATTAATATTATTCAGAAATGAGAGGAGGCCTGTGCCCAGCAGTGGGACGTAGATAGGCTGTAACTTTTTTAGCGTAATTTATTAATATTAACAAAACTTAAAATATGATCTAAAATTATTTTTTCAAAAATTTTACTAAATGTTGGTAATACAGAAATTGTTCTAAAATTGGCGGGATCTAATGTCAAGGTATCACATGATATGACAATCGACAACCAAAAAGATCCGAATGCCCTGCCATTTAACTTAAGGTAAGCAAGTGACATCTGATAACTATTTGTAATCTGTGCTTTTAACGCCTGAATTATATGTTAATGGAGTTTTGGCGGGAAATTGACCGGCGGCGGTTTGCTGCTCCTGTATTATTGTTTAAATAATGGTTTGAAGTGGACTTTGATATGTAAAAGTGTTGCGATTTTGTGTATTAAGTGTCTACGCATGTGAACTATTAGTGGAAACAGTGAAACAAGTGCTCTGATGGTGATGGATTCTCAAGATAAGCTGTTTGTTTGCATAGGCACCTTTAG